GGTTAAAAGTAACAGGAGTTAGGAAAAGTTCTAAGGACCTCCCTCAAAGTTTCCGAAGGCAAGTTATTGATTTATAAAACGATGATGTCAAAACTTCCCAAGTCATTAATATTCAGCTGCTGCATTTTTATGAGATCCAAAGACACACGTTTACGGCTGGCGCCTTCTTGTATATGTAATAAAAACGATTCTGAGCAAACAGGTCGCTCTACTTATTTTTTGAAAATTGTCAACATTGGATTTAAACACAGCCAGCACAAGAAACAAAGAAATTTCAAGCTCCATTTTTATTGAAATAGAAAGTGACCATTTAACAAATGTTCAAAATGGAATATTATAAACAATTTTTATGGATAGTTGAACTACGCTAACTAGTATGTAAGAAATTGATTCTTGGGTAGGCACTTGGTGAAACATATTTAATAAGATATAAGAAATAAAACACTTGGTACACTTTTGTTTGGAGCACGGCGTTGTACGGGTGCGAAACATGGACAGTGGGAGCGGCGGAAAAGAAAAGGTTAGAAGCGTTCGAAATGTGGTGTTATAGGCGGATGATGAGGATATCGTGGGTAGAAAAGGTTAGAAATGAAGAGGTATTGGAAAGAATAGGAGAACAGAGGACTCTATGGAAGTCAATAAAAAATAGGCGAGATAGGTTGGTAGGACACCTTCTCAGGCATGAAGGTCTAGTCAGAGACATATTAGAGGCAGAAACAGGAGTTAGGAAGGGTAGAGGTAGACCTAGATTAAATTACTCTTTGCAAATAGTTAAGGATGTGGGCTGTTCTAGTTTTAGGGAGATGCGAAGATTAGCTCAGGATAGGAAAGAGTGGAGGTACGTGTTCAACCAGTCTTAGGACTGATGACCTTATGATGATGATGACACTTTTGTTTCACAGTTTATTTAGAACACTCCAAGTGTACCAAGTGTTTTATTTCTTATATATTACGCTATCTAACTTCCCATTAAAAGGAAATTAAACCTTATTTTTTTATTATTTATCCACTGTAAGCTCTTCTACTAATTTTTTTTAATTTTAAAATTTACTAGGCGCACTGGCTTTTTTTACTCTATTTTTTTCACTTTGTGCAGATCATACATACACGCGTATTTTTGCACGTACGTGGTGTCATGATTGCTTATTAAAAAGTAGCGGTCGATTGCGAAAGGAAGTGCCGACAAAGAGGAAAGGGGGTACATGAATGGGGAAAGAGTCAGTCAGTCCTGAGCGAGCATCTAAGTTGGTTGGTAGTTTTTAGTCCAAGTTCTGATCTGGTTTATGACGAGCTGTTCAAATTTAATAAAAATTATACACAATGTGAATTGCATTATTGCTCCATCAGCAGTTAAATGTAGGTATGTATAAAGATCCGAGTTTTTGTTGACCTTTATATAAAATAAACCGACACAATTTGTAGTGAATTCTAAACCGAAAACGATTTTGGTTCGTTCGATTCCCTTACAGCTAATTCGCGTTGTATATATCACTCAGCCAATACAACTAAGCAGAATTAGAAAATAAAACAAATAAAACTAAAACAGTCAGGAAAACAAAAGAAAATAATAATCCACATTTTAACCTACTTCAGGGAGTGGAAGAATCCTATGGGTTGAAGTTTTCACTTGAATTCGTAGAAATTTCAAGCGACTGAAGATACAGGGATGGAGTTCAATAACGATTCAATAAAGCAAGCCGATTTAAGCTTGACGCCCTGAAATGCCTTCAGCTCTAGATTCGATATTCCCGAGAAACAGAAAGCAACAGTTTAAATTCTGCCCGCAATCGTTGGATTCGAAACACTAGAGGCGTGGATATTTATATACGAACATATATTATCCATAAATATTCTGTTCACGAAACACCGATTCGATTACATTTTGGAATGCGCTTAAGTGAGGAGATTCCTATTTTAAATAGATTATATCCCCCCTATATAAATAATGTGTTCAAACCATAAAAATGTTTCAATATACCTAGTCAAAATTTTTAAATGAAAATTGTGGTTCTATTGTGGAGTAGACTGATTAATAGCAAAGTCAGTGGGCTATCGCAGTCTACGATTTAACATCCTATAAACATTTCGATAAATTAACGACCAAATCGATTCTGCTTCGTACATATAAGTTGATTAATATCAACTAATTGACATTGTATCGCCATCTACAGATTTCAACTGTTAATTATAGTATTTCATGTTATTCGCAAGGTGTATTAGGTCTTTATATAGGGCCTTGTGAAAAGTAAAAACCCACGTGTAAATATGACGACATCCTGATGTCAGTTAATTACAAATAATTGCTTGTTAATCATTTTCTGTAAGTATTACCAAGAATAAAACAAAATCAATACTGAGACATGGCAATGTTGGGCATAATTTTGATGATCGGTAATAAAGGACAATAAACAAATTTATTTATGTTCAAAATGAAAATATGTTTTTTTCACTTATTGTCCTTAAGTGTACCTTATCATAAGTGCAAGTTAGAAAAGAAATTATAATAAATTAAGTGGAAAAGATGCTTCACAAATCCTCAGTTACAATCATCTTGTTTCATAAATAATTTATCTGTTGTATATTGGTACTTGAAACAACTTCTTATGGGAACACCGCTTTATGAACTAGGTAATAAAGGAGATGTAACGCTTGAAAATAGGATTCAATAAGCTTCGCGTTATGGAGCTGCAGTATTTGCTATATAATTTATGACCACAGAGAAAATGGATGTCATTAAACTACCATTTTGAGAAATGTAGGTACCTCTAAATAAATATAAAATTTATCCATGAGGGTTGTTTGAGTTATTTTAATTACTTACTCCAAACTTAATTAAATTCAGATGTTTTCATATGAATATATTTTAAGTAAATGATTAGTAGAGGAATTAAATTTTAATTAAATTAAATAGTCACGTTTCTGATTTGCCTATCTCAGCTTTTCATTTAGAAGATAATAAACGTAATTGTACGTTAATCATCCCGAGATGTAATCTAAAGTAATGCCACAAACTTAATTCCAGCCAACTTTATGACAAACTGGTAGCTAAACTGAAAGCATGAAAAATCTTTGACGGGCGTCGATTATTCATAGCCCGTCTATTAAATAAGAAACCGTAATTTATGTTTCTATTGCTAGTAGATAGTTAATTTATTATCTGTGTCGTACAGCTGACGGATTCTTTTTTAAGCCATGACAACGTTGGAGAAAAAATCGCAAGGGCAAGTACCTATAACCTTTTTAAACGTAAGTAATACTGAAAATAGTCTAGTTGCAACGCATTTAATGCACTTGGTTTTAATATTATGATAAATATTTAGACATATGTGTCTTCACTCCGGTAGGGAAAATACAACGGGGGCGGGATGAAGGTGACTTTGTTTAAATTGCAGAATAGAGTTCTTCATCTTCAACCCCAGCGCCTCCACCATATCTAAAATTCGTGTAAAATTCTATGCTATCCTTTCTCTCTCTTCGACGAAGGTCGCGACATATAAATAATTACCATTTACCTCGTTTTCAATTTTCATCCCCACCCCTGCGTCTCCCCGTGTCTGCCCCAGCCAAAACTATTTTATGATGTTCTACTGCTTCCCTTCTACCCATACCAGCGGGGTTTCATACATTCAGATATTTATCAGTATTCTTATTTTATTAATGTTTAATTTAATTTTTTAATGGTTGTTGTTGCTTCTGCAGCTGTGAATATTAAAACTGTTGCAGGGCGTAATTTAAGAAGATTAGAATCAAAAAGAGGATTTTAAAAATATTTTCTTGATCCGGGGCTTATTTAGAACTTTAACTACTAAAAATTCTAAATAAAAACTAATTTAATACATTTACTTACTCTTTATTGTATATTGTTTGAATATAATGGAGAATACGTTTGCTAATTTGACTGATTATTATTTTATACATCAAGTTTAATAAAATTCATATGCAATGCTTTGTGTAGCAGTTGGTAACCGTAACATTATATTTCATTAACAAACTATCGACAGTACAAATCACGATTTAATTTCAATTACAATACCTTCTGTTTAAATTATTTCGCGATATGATTGTTTTAACCATGTTTGATTGCAAGTCCACTAATTTTGTTATTCGATTTAGCTTTTATTTTTTGCCAATTTCCTTCCAATATACCTTTTCTCTGCACGATATGGCCATAATATCGTTCAAGCGAGCATTTAGTTAATTTATCTACGAAAAACGGATCGGATCACTAAAAGAGAAACTCTGTGATGTCTTAATAGCATCAATCGGCTTAACATGAGACCAAATATTTTTTTCTCTGTAACCCGAATTAATTCAATTATAGGGAACATTAGTTTAACTGGGGTGGAATATGGAACTTCTTCATCCCTTTTAACGGTCAAGCGGAAAGTTTATGTCGGTTTTCGATTTCGGGTTAAGTGCCAGCACTTTAACGTAAAGATGCTGTGTTTAATTCCGTTTCATTTTTGAAGCTTGTGGGCACGATCCCTTTCGCATGATTTCCGAAGAATGTAACAATCAAGTCTTGTTCACAAGAGCAAACCACGCCGAGGCAAACATATTCTGCATGACTGAATTGGTAAAAAGCAACCGACCATTCTCCCTACATCAAAACGAAGAAATGTTATGCTTAAATGTTAAGCTATTTTCTCTGATGGAGCTAACTGCTAACCCATCCAATTTTTATTATTTTAATATTTCTAATTGTTTATAATAAATTCAGTTGTTAATCAATGTAGAATTCAAAGCAATAGCCTAGATAACATCCCACAACCCTCTTTTTATGTCAGCATATTTCCGTCGACATCGGTTCAATTGTTTCAAACATACAGACAAACAGATAAAATCGGACGTACACTTCACTTTTATCTATATGAAAATATACGAAGATATATAAGTAATATAGATATGTATAGGTATGTATATTTCTATAAAGCATGTAACTCCATTACAAAGGCATTATAGTTCCCCAATCCATCAATTAATAACTAACTTATTCTTAGAACTTACCAAACATCCAGTTGTGGCTTTCTTAGAAGTTTTAAGATAGATCCCACATATACCGAATAATTCCAAGAACTAATCCTGAAAATAAAAACATAGTTTACATAAATGAATAAAAAAATTAAGTGTGAAGTTTTTTTTTGCGGTACATAAATGATCGTAACAATAATACTGCAAGGAGCGAACATATCATTCTTTCAGGAGAAGTAACTAATGATATTTAAAAGATCTTCCATGTTCTACTATTGATATTTTTGACGAATTTGAAGAGAAATT